ACTATTTAAATTTATTGTTCTAAATTATAGCTATTTTTGACGTCTCCACAAGTTCGGAATTATCGACAACATTTTATTTTTCCTAACGAATACTCAGTACTTTTTATAGTTCCTTTAAGTACTTAATATGCCTAATATTGCTCATTATTATTTATAATTTTTCGTTAATGCGTTCCCGCCGGTATGGAAGAAATAATCAAAAATTTACAAATTTAGGAAATTTGCTTGCAGCACTCGCAGAACTGTAGACCACCTGGATCACTCTGAAACGGATGTCTGTTGTCTGTAAAAGCTTAAAAAAAATAATTTTGGCGACAGCACACAGGGCCTCTGGACTAACGCGCACACCGCGAATTCCTGTAGAGGCTTTCGCTACCTTACTTTTGCGCGAGCATGTGTCGTCTGTACTAATACTCCTATGTTCGGTGAAACTTAATTAGAATATTTTTAAACTGACGAAATTGCAACGACCGTGCAGTCAGCACGTGACTGCCCACCTACACTTTCAGACAGAGCGTAAGTGGAACCATTAACTTGAGGTTGTAAACGTGTTTGAAGCACGTTGTACGTAGGAGACGTACGCTAAGTCCTCCACTAAGCAGTGGTAAGCTTATCAAGTAGGATATGCCAGAGCAATACGTCTCAACAAGAGAGGTGAGTTCCAACAACTCAATGGTTTTTATTCCTTGAAATAATTTTTAAAGTTGTGACTGTTGATTTATAAATCGTAAATCTATAGAGAAATATATGTTTAAGATAAGGTTTGATAATCCAAGTAAACGGAACTCTTTTAAGATCACATGCCTCTGCTAGTGTTTTTTCAGCAGAGGGTTTTTTGTCAAACTTTATATTAGTGAAGATTTAGAGTGAGAGTATCCTAACAAGTATCCTATCGGGTTCGATCAAAACCGATAATCTCATTTTTATTGTTATTTGTCTGCAATGCCATTTAGCCTACAACAACTTGTATGGCAGAGTAATGCTGTAAAATATGTCAGACGTGTTCACTTCAGACTCCGTTGTCCTTGTCGGTCTTCTCTTTTCACTGCTAATGTGTTTTAGATCAGGCGTAATTTCCACGTATATGCTGATTCGCCATAAAACGGTACGATCTTCATTTCGTAAAATCTGCCAAAATATGAGAAATATTAAAACATTTTCGCATATCAGTATTAAGTAAAGTTGCATTACTGATTATCGTGTAGACTTCTCTGAAATCATTGCAGTCACAATACTATGGTGGCTTTTTAAGTAGATCATTCTGATCGCTAAAAATACCTATATACTGAGCAAAATTGTAATTTTAGTAGTATGCATTTTTATAATTGAGTTTGACTGTCTTTATATATTCAAATATATTGTATGGCAAACATAAACACAAAAATTTGTTCTTGTACTCTTTTGGTAACAAATAACGCCATTTTCAAATTTTATATTTAAGAAAGGTATCCTTAGGTTTTAAATAGGTTTGCTATTATGAGCTGTCTAACGATTTTGAGGGGTCCGTTCATATGAATAATGTAAACAGCAGTTGCTACTTTTTGCCGTGCATACGTTTTTCGGTAGTCAAAATGAAGTTACTTACAAAATAAATGAGTATATGTGCATGTGACGCGAATTCTAGGCCGTACGGTTCAATCATTTAACCTCTTACTTCGACCATTGAAACAAGCGGTCAATGCAGTTTTAAAACGCCGTATCTTTGGAATTTCCAAAAAATCAAAACATTCTCAAAAGCTAGTCAAGCTGAAATATGACAGAATAATTAAAATATTTTCGCTCACGTTATTTTGATCATTTGATCCTGCGAAAAAACCTTTAGTTACGAAAACCCCCCTCTTGGTTACGCTTAGATAGTGTTATGTGATATACATATTGTAAAATGTGTAGCAAGTACATCTCGAAAGAATTTCACATAAAACCAAAAACAGAAGAACCACACGTGTGCACTAATGTGCAATTTGACATATAAGTACTAGAGGATATCAAAAAATATCCCTACCGGAGCCTGAAAATATTTCCCTGAATTTTTCAGATGCAAAAAGACATGTAGAAATATACGAACCATACACTATGCTTACCGCTTAGGCGTAATTTAGAAACGGAACGGACAGAAGTATAAATATCATAGAAATATATCCTTTTATATATGGTCACAATTTTTTGCATTCGCAAATCTGGAACAGAGCCCAGAAGAAAATTTTTCATTCGCAAGTGTAGAACAGAACATAAAAGTAACGAGAAGTGGCAAAATAATCCAATATAATTAGAAAAATCAGTTCTTTGATTTTCAGTCAAATGGAGTCATTTGTGTTCATGTAAGTTAAAAAAATACTTGTCAAAAATCTCAATTTTCGTTTTGACATAACCTTGGACAACTGTAATATATAAACAAATTCGGCTGTTCAAGACCTGATTTATGTTCGTTTTTGAGATGCAACCTAATGTAGAATGTTCTTCTTTAATCTAAGGGATAACAATATAAAAACTTCTGTGGCGGACGTTCCTTTTGTTGGACAATGTGTTTTGCTGCATTTGAGGCATTTTTAGATATGGTCCACATGACCCTTTTCATAAGAACTTATAGAAGAAAACTCATTTTGGTAAATGCTCTTATTATACACTCTATTTTAAGGGTTTTGGTGTAAACGTCGAACGTACTCTCGATTGATAGATAAAAGCGCGGAAGACTCAGTAAGCGATTGAAAATAGGCCAGAATTTAAAGGACGATATTAAATAAATGGTTACCCGTTTATGCTTATATGCACACATCTTCTTGATGAAAGAAGAATTCTTTTTAACAAAGAAATTGGTAAGGCTATGTAATCAAATTGAGAAAAGATTTAAATCTTTTGTTTTAATTTAAAGCGATTTTTACTTCTTCGGAACTTGGGTGTTATCAGAAAAATTGATTTTTCTTAACAAACGCATAGTAATTCTTATGCTTCTTTTAAATACTGCGTTTTTTGAATGTGGCTTATTATTACTTCAAACGTTTCGTAACTGCGTTCTCGCCGGTATGCGGGCAATGATCCAACGTTTACTAACAGGCATTTTGCATGCGGAACTCACTACACTATACATATCATCATCGATTTGATATAATAAACATTAAGTGGAAGAAACTA